GCAGAGGGGAGGATTCAAACCCAGATCTGTGTGGTTCCAGAACCAAGATTTACTGTGGACCCAGCCCCCAAACTTAAAAGTACCATCAGCAGCAGCAATTCAGTAACAAAACATAACTACCATGACTATCCCGAGCTCAATGCTCAGTTTTCGGCCTGTGGATTCCGCGTTCGCTTGCATAAACTGGAATTAACACCAGCCTACTTGAACCCAATTAAGCAGTAAGTCAGACTGGAAAACATCAGGCGATGTATTCCAAAGGTCAAAGTTAAACCTGGCTTACTGGGCAGCCTTTGCTGGGCGCTGCCATGAAAGCTAGTCTCTCTGCAGACACCAGTTTAACCAGAGAGGTGTTTAATCAGCATCCTATCGGCTTTAAAAAGTCCCAAAGAGATGCCACCTACAGGACACCTTGTCTGGCTGGCTCTGCAGTCAACAGCCAGAGAAGGGGAGTCTGCAAGAAAGACATCACTTACTTTTTAAAAAGCAAACCTATTCCCTTCTTTTATCCGTTTGCGGTTACATTTAGTACTGTAGCTGCCTTCCCCTGGGTAAAAAATAAAAGGAGGCGGGGAGAGAAGGCGGGGAGGGGGGGCTCCCCTATCAACCTGCAGGGCGCTGCAACACCCACCTGAAACGCGGAGCAAGACCTACCTTCCCCGGAGAGCCCAGCCTCCAGGGCGTTTCCCCCGCGCCGCGTCCCTCCCGAGGAAGCAGCGGCGGTCCTGGCTTCAGTCGGGGCGCTAGAGTTGCGTGCGCATCCCCTCCCCAAAAAGAACCCCCCGGTTCAGTTTCTCCCCGCCGCCCCCTCCTATCAATTCCGAGGAAAGAATAAACACCAGGGTGATAGGTTCGTCCTCAGGAAGACATTTAACTACGTCTAAACGACTGCAGGAGGGGGGTTGAGGAGCGCCGTGGGGGGCAGGGGGACACTAGAAGGAAGGAGCTAGCGATCGCGACGCTCCAGCAGAGCCTCAGGCGGGTGGCACGGGGAGGGGACACCCATCGGGTCCCATAGCGCATCTGAGGGTGCTGGGGCCACCTCCCCAAGCTGCCTCCACGTCCAGGCCCGACGGGGTGATGGCGCAAGGCTCCCCCCTCCTCCCCCCCGCAGCGACAACAGCCGCGGTGACAAAATGGCAGCCTGGCGCCCGGCAGTCGTGCCACAAGCGAACAGGGCCCTGGCGGCTGCCCCTGCCCCTAATAATGCCTCGTCGCCCTTGGGGCTCGGCCTCGGGCGGGTCTGGCCGTTAAAAAAAATAATAAGGCAGAGCTCAGATGTGGGTGGGCCTCCCCTAACCAAGATATCCCCTCAGATTGGTGCAGATGTGACTGCATCCCAGGCAGGTACAGACAGTCTCTCCCAGAGGCTCTCCGGAAGCTATTTGTCTTAAGAACGTTAAAAAAAATAGTTCCTCCTCCCCCACCTCTTTTGTCCCTCATTAGCGAGCTTTCTCCCCTCCTCCCCAAACGCGCAGAAAGTGCCCCCTCCACTCCCCGAGCCCC